GTTGGGGCAAAATGCCCCATTTGCAGTTGCTTCACAAATCACTTCCTAGCTTGGAGTCCGATCATAAGTGAATCAATTTGAGGGGTGCAATTTAAAGTAAAATGTCCAAAGAACGCATTGAGCACAAATTTGGCCTTTCAGGTGATGTGGGACAAAATTTATGTAGCAAAATAAATTATCTGGGGCGTCTTGCCCCAGGCTACCCTACGTAGAGTACCTCTACCTCGGAATTTCAATCAGTGGCGGCGGAACACCTTCAGTTACAATTGCAAAGGGGGGCACTGCCGACTTTTGGTCCCATTCTTTCCATGCAACGCCCATAGGGCGTTGCATGGAAAGGGCTGTTAAAATGCCAAAATCAAAGGGGGGCACGGTGCCCCGGTGCCCCCCCCCTCGTTCCGCCGCCTTTGATTTCAATATCACTTGCTTGCTCAATGCTCATTGCTCAGCTCGTATTGTAAGAGCACTGCGGCACAGCATAGATGCAGGCGCTTTGCTACTGGCATCTATGGGTGAAAGATGAAGATAATGGTTATTGCGGTACAGTATTACTGCAGGCGCAAACAACGTAGATAACAAAGATGCCTATGCTGCGCTGGCCGGCGATTGAGGCGTAAATTTGCGTTGCTGGGTAGCAAAAAGTTTAGGAGCCCGAATGTGGTGACGTAGCCCTTGCCCTCTGAACTTTGTGCAGTAGACTAGGTGGCGCTGAGCTCGCTGCGCTCGTGGGCACGGTGCGGCCGTGCAGCAGTCGGGCAGCGGCCCCCGCCGGATACCGATCACCAATACAGGACTACGTTATTCAGAACGCTGTGTGAGATCGCGGACCGAGATCGCGGACCCGGAAGCTGGAACGAACTCAGCCGCGGATACTAGCGGCGTAACAACTTGGCGACAAGGATGAGATTCGCTTAGTGGTGATCTCGGAAGGAAAAGTGGCGTTCTTCTCACGGATTTGGCGTTCTGGTGGTGCGGCACCGGTGGCCGACGCGGATATACGTCACGGGGAAGTGACAGCGTCGGGACTCGGACAAACTCGTTGGGCGTGCTGGATGGTACAGTGCGCGGCGGTCGGCGCGGATATACATCACGGTGAAGTGATAGCGTCGTGCCGGGTGATATTGCTTAGTGCTTAGTTCTGCTTAGTGCTTAGTATTTTTTTTATACTGCTGCATAATTTTGTGCATTAAAGCTCTGCCGCTGCGTTTCGCTGTATCGTTGTTGGGAACATTTGTATTGCACCTCCGTGTTGGGTGAACAGTGGTGCGGGCGGCGACGGCGGCCGCTGGACTCTGAACTTTGGACTCTGCTCGGTGTGGCGTGACTGGTGAGTCAGCGCGGTCAGTGCAGTGTGCAGTGCCCGACCCCGGTGCAGCCTCGGGGCGGTGGCAAACATGGCGGCCGGACTGCCGAGCGTGGCTCCCTTTGCAAAGGGGATGGACTTTAGCCGGTGGCTGAAGGGTCTGGAATTCTACGCCGAGGCGATGGACATAACAGACGACCGGCGGCGGACTGCAGTCCTGCTCCATCTAATGGGGCCGGACATCCAGGACGTGTTCGACACCCTGCCGGAGCCGGCTGCAACGGCTGCAACGTCACAATACGACACCGCCGTGGCTAAACTACGCCAGTATCTACAGCCGACGTCTAACCTTATGGCGGAACGTGTAACGTTCCACCGCACGAGCATGTACGCCGGCGAGTCATTCGACGCGTACCTGGCTCGTTTGCGGGCGGTGGCTGGGCGGTGCGGGTTCCCGGCGGCTGACCTCGACCGTGAGCTCCGGGACAGGAGCGTGGCCGGCGCGACTCCACAAATTCAGGAGCGACTGTTGCAGACGGTCGGAACCAAAGGAGACAACTTTTCACTGCAAGATTTGCAGGCTACGGCTCGTGCATACGAGCAAACGCAAATGCTAGTGACGCAGTTCCGTAACGCGTCTCTGAGCACGGACGGCGTCGGACGGTCAACTACCGCATTGGACGAGCGGCCAGAGGTCGATGTGGTGACCTCGGGACCGGATCAGCTGAACGCTGTCCGGCCACAGCGCACAGCTGACGGTAACCGGAACCGCCAGCGGCGCATGGTCCGCTGCTACCGCTGCGGTGCGGCGGGACATTTCCAGCGGGACTGTCAGGAGAGCCGACGCCCGGATGAGTCAGCGCGTGCGGCACCAGCGTCACGGCGGCCGACGGGGCCGGGGCGCCGGGAATCTGACACTCGTGGGTCCGACGGGGTCAGACCGGCACCGGAGACGCGGCGGTGCTACCGCTGCAAGCAGATCGGACATCTGCGCAGTCAATGCCGACAGCAGCCTGCCACGGCGGACATGTGGGGGCTGGGGCAGATAAACGCTGTTAACCTAACGGAGGCGGTTAAAATGACTTTACCAGTGAACGGGGTGGCCATCAAAATGGTGGTGGACACCGGCAGCCCTATCACTGCTGTGGGGCGGGACACGGTCATCCCGCGGCTGCGATTGAAACCTACTCAGCTACAGCTGTCGTCATTCACTGGTCACCGGATCCCTCTCCGGGGTGAGGCAGACGTCTCTGTAAGGTTTCGCGGTCGGGACCACCGACTGCGACTGGTCGTGGTGGACCTGCCTGGCGATCGCCGTCTGCTAGGCCGCGACTGGCTGCGGACTCTGGACATAAGTGTGGGCGGCGGAGAGACGGCGGTGATGGACGTCACGCCGGACCGAGGGACGGCGGACCTGGAGGCGGTCTGTAACAGGCACAAGTCGGTGTTTGACGGCACACCGGGGCGCATCAGTGGAGTAAAGGCGCACCTGACACTGAAACCGGATGCACGGCCGGTGTCACGGCCGGTGCGCTCGCCTCCATATGCACTGAAACCGGCCGTCGAGCAGGAGCTCGACCGCTGGGTGCAGGCCGGGATCGCGGAAAAAGTCGGTCCAAACGACGCGCCCGGCTGGGGAACACCACTGGTGACGGTGCCACGGGCTGATGGCGGTGTGCGTCTGTGCGGTGATTATCGACTAACGGTAAACCCGCAGCTGCAAATGGCGACGCATCCTACGCCATCCGCCGAGGACATCTTTGCGAGCGTCCGAGGACGGCGGTTCTGCAAACTGGACCTGAAAGACGCCTTCCTGCAGCTGGAGCTCGCGGAGGAATCGCGGGATATGACAACAGTCGTCACGCACCGAGGACGGTATCGGATGAAATCCCTACCGTTCGGCATATCGGCGTGCAGTTCGGTGTTTCAGGCCGCAATCGATCACATCCTGGATGGCATAGACGGGTGTGTGGCCTATCAAGACGATCTGCTGGTGACGGCGGCGAACATGACGGACCTGTGCGAGCGCTTGGATGAAGTGCTAACTCGGCTGGAAGCTCATGGAGTGAAGCTGAAACGGGAGAAGTGTCAACTTGGACTCGACGAGGTGCAGTACCTCGGCTGGCGCATCTCAGCACAGGGGCTGCGTCCAGTACAGGAGAAAGTTGACGCAGTGATCGACATGCCGGACCCTAAGGATGTGAAAAGTCTGCGCAGCATCTTGGGGAGCATCAACTACTACCAGCGCGTGCTTCCCAACCTCTCCACGGAACTAGCGCCGCTGTACGAGCTATTGCAGAAGGGCGCCACGTGGAAATGGACTGATGTGCACAAAAACGCACTGGTCAGAGTGCGGAAACTGCTGGCAGGGGACACAGTCCTAAAGCGGTACGATGCAGAGGCGCCGCTCAAGCTCGTCACAGATAGCAGTGAAGTCGGCGTGGGAGCCGTGCTTCTGCAGCCTGACGAGGAAGGACTGGAGCGTCCGGTGATGTACGCCTCTCGGACACTCACAAAAACGGAGAGAAAATATCCAATGGTAGAGAAGGAGGCGCTGGCGGTGTCCTTCGCTGTCAAGCGCTTCGGTCAGTTTCTCTACGGCCGGAGATGGACCCTGGTCACGGACAACAGGGCGCTGTCGCGCATCTTGAGTCCGGAGCGCGAGCTGCCAACGCTGGCTGCGGCCAGGCTCCAGCGGTATGCGCTGCAGCTCGCGGCTTTCACCTACGATGTGGAGCTACGTCCATCAGAAGACATGCACCTGGCGGACAGTCTGTCTCGTATGGCAGTGCCAGGCGGAGAGGTCGAGCCAACGGATGCTGAGGACGACAACAGCGGCGGCTCGTACCTGCTGTTCATGGACGGAGTAGCTCCAGTTCTGACGGCCAAACAACTCGCGGCGGCGACACGCCGCGATCGGGTACTGTCGCGCGTCCTGACGTACGTGCACAGTGGGTGGCCCGGACAGGTGGAGCAGGAGCTGGCCCCGTTCCGTCAGAGGCGGGATGAGCTCTCCACGGACCTGGGATGTCTGCTCTGGGGTGGCAGGACGGTGGTTCCCCACTGCCTTCGGCAACAGGTGCTGGCAGAGCTGCACCAAGGTCACCTGGGCAGCGCCAAAATGAAAGGTGTGGCGCGCCGATACGTATGGTGGCCTGGCATGGACGCCGAGCTAGAGGCCCTAGCGCGTGACTGCGCGGCTTGCATGGAAAAGCGCGGGGCACCACCGCGTGCTGAACTACACCCTTGGGAACCGACGGACAGCTGCTGGTACAGGGTTCACATCGACTTCGCTGGACCTTTCCAGGGCTCTTTCTTTTTGATAGTGTATGACAGCTACTCGCGCTGGGTGGAGGCAGTGCCGATGCGTGAGACCAGCACGGAAAGCACTGTGCGTGTTCTGCGCGAAATGTTCGCCAGGTTTGGATTGCCGGTCCAGGTGGTCAGCGACAATGGACCCCAGCTGACCGCCACTGCGTTCTCCCAGTTCCTGAACTCGAATGGGATTCGGCACATCAGGACAGCGCCGTGGCATCCAAGTAGCAACGGGGCGGCGGAGCGCGCAGTTCAAACAGTAAAGAATGGCTTGAAAGCTGCACTCAAGGACGGAGGAACGCTTTCTCAGCGCCTCCAGCGGTTCTTGCTGGCATACCGGGTGGCGCCACACGCGACCACGGGGAGGTCTCCAGCGGAAATGATGTTGGGACGGAACGTGCGAACCAACCTGGACCTCCTAAAGCCGGATGTGGACGCGCGGCAGCGCGAGGAAAAACTTCGCCAGTGGCAGGCCGGTAGGCCAGGTCACAACAGGCAGTTCTCGATCGGAGACCACGTCTGGACACGGGCCTACGGTGGACCGTCCAAGTGGCGGCGGGGCGTCATCACCGCCCGGACGGGCCCGCTGTCGTTCGAAGTGGACGTGGGGAGCGCGATCTGGTCGCGGCACGCCGACCAGCTGCGTCTGGCGGGCACCCAACAGGCTGCTGCAGCGTCCGATGGCGCGGAGGAAATCAGCCGGCAGCCGACGGTGGCAGCACCGAACCGTACTGGACAGGTTCCGGTGGCACCCACGGGGATGGGCGAACCACCGGTGATCATCAGACCGGGGGTCATCGTCGGGTCAGGTGTGACCGGCGGGTCGGAAACGACGGTCAGGTCACCGGCCAAAGACAGGCCGGGGGCGACGGGCAATGATGCTGTGACAGCACCTGCTACCGCTACCGGTGGCAGCTCCGAGGAAGCGCAGGTAGCTGCAGGCGGCGACGCTGGTGCCGAGGAGGAGGTCAGCAGAGGGGGCGGTGCGACCTCATCGGCGACAGGAACAGGAGCTGGATCAGCAACTGGGGGCATCGCTCAGCGTGTTTCCGTCAGGCAGCGGAAGCAGCCGCGTCGCCTCATAGCCGAAATGTGACGGCGACACAAAGTCGTGTTCGAAGCGACTGGCTTTGCTTTGAAATAGTTTTAGACGGATGTTTAGTCTTATTTCGGCCAGTTTTTGTGTTGTCTGCTTCGCCACGACTGTCATTCCTGTTGAGGGGGTAGTGTGTGGTGACGTAGCCCTTGCCCTCTGAACTTTGTGCAGTAGACTAGGTGGCGCTGAGCTCGCTGCGCTCGTGGGCACGGTGCGGCCGTGCAGCAGTCGGGCAGCGGCCCCCGCCGGATACCGATCACCAATACAGGACTACGTTATTCAGAACGCTGTGTGAGATCGCGGACCGAGATCGCGGACCCGGAAGCTGGAACGAACTCAGCCGCGGATACTAGCGGCGTAACACCGAATTTGACAAAATAAATGATTTGCCGTGCTGGTGGTCTGAGGTCGCAAAATCAACAGAACCCTAGGTCAGTGATATTGAAATTTCGAGGTAGAGGTAGGTAGGTACTATCAGGGTTGTGCTTGACTCATGAGTCGAGTCAGAAATTTGACTCAACTCTGACTCAAATGAGTCAGATTTGAGTCAAGTCGGATAAATTGTTGAGCTGTTGAGTTGAGTCAGAGTTGAGTCGGACAAAAATATTAAGGCGTTGAGTTGAGTCAGAGTTGAGTCAGTAAAATAACTTTTGACATTGAGTTGAGTCAAACATTTAGGAACATGAGTCAGCTGACTCAACTTTCCAGAAACAAGCTTTTCATCCCCCCGTCCCCCCCCCCGCTTAATAACTTCGCCCTGGCCCTGCTGCCGGACTTTTTCACCCCCCCCCCGCTCAACGGCTTTTTTGTCTGAGTCAATTTTGAGTCAACTCACTTGACTCAACAAAAAAATTTGAGTCAAGTTTGAGTCGACTCATATTTTCATTGAGCCGCTTGAGTCATGAGTCGAGTCGAGGGGAAAAAATCAGCTCCTTGTTTGAGTCAGAGTTGAGTTAGGGCTTTCTGAGGTTGAATGATGAGTCGAGTCGGCAAATTTTTTTGAGTCGAGCACAACCCTGGGTACTATACGTATATGTATACTGTTGATCTTATCAATTGCTGTACGTTTTAAGCCGATTGTATAGTCTGTGTAGCTATGACGGGCATTATAATTTTTCCTAAGGTAAGGCCACTTGTACGTAACCTGGTGACCTAACCTTGAGCGACCTAAGTCTGAAAGTTATGCAGCATTTGTGAAAAAGATGTATGAAAAGGTGTGCCAAAAACGGCGGCGCTACACAACGCCGTTTTCGAGATATTTACATAAATCCACATAGCGTGTCCAAGCATCCCCACCGCCCGGCGCGGATATTTTTTTGCACGTGCAGAGCGCACCTTTGGGGGCCACCAGGAGATGGATACGCTCAATAACTATGCTGGAATACATTCTGGGTGGCCTGTGTAAATTTGGCACATTGAGCTTGCCAGCGCTACCCGCCCTACCCGCATATGTGACACCTGGAGTGCAACATCAAAAGGTTTGCGCGTGCACAGCACGTGCACCGTGTACCCCAGCACGCCTATTTGTACAGCACCTTAAAGCGCGTGTCCAGTAGTGTCAGTGTGCCAAATTTGGTGTGCCTAGGTCAAGGTTTTCCGGAATCGGAGGATGCCTCCTCAAAACATGTTTTTGGCCACTAGCGCGTGCATTCCGCACCCCCTGATGCCGAGCATACCATATGTTAGTGGTCGAACACTGGGACATGTGACCTGTGAGTTTGGCACCTGTGTCGCCCTTCGTTTGATTTGAAGCGTCGCTTAGGGTAACTGTGGGGAAAACGCACCCCTGGGTTAAACGCCTCCCCTAAAAAAATCGTAGATCCTATCGACGGATAGGTGTTTTATCCTGGCTTTCAGAACAGTCAGCTGCTTGTTCACGTAGTTCTCTATTTCCGGTTCTGCGTCTTGAGGAACAGCGTGGGTAGGTGCTGATGTTGGTTTTGGGTGCTGTTTTTGTTGTTTTTACAGAAGATTCCTAAGCTTTTGATGCCCTCTTTATATCACAAAACTTGCTATTGTGCACATCACTCAAAACTGCGTTTTATTGTCATTCTGGTGAATTTATTATGCTGCGGCGTTAGTGGCGCGTTTTTTGTCAATATTTTGTTGACCGGAAATGGAGTGGATGGGGAAAGACGCCTACTCGATGCATGGGGCAAGACGCCCCCAGTTTTCTGAAAGGGGGGCGTTTTGCACGGTGGTGAGAGTGCAGGGTAGCGCCGTGTAGGTCGGGGCCGAAAAGGCCTCTCCCTGTCCTTTTTTGCTGATATATCCTAAACGACTGCAGATATCGTCACCAAACTTTCAGGACTATTCCGGGCATCCATTTTACACATTGCAACAACATTTTATTCCAAAGGCTATGATAGGTTGACCACAAATGACGTCAGAATGACGCCAAGTTCTGCCATGTTCATCATTTTCTGTTGATGGATGGGGTGGGGGCGCTTTGCACATGGGTGTGGGCGTATTACCCAGGGTGTGGGGCAAAACGCCCTTTTGTAAGGGTATGCGGAAACCTTTTTGGGGGGTTAAATACCACACGCAAGTGTCTTTTCTTGGTCTCAAAGCGTAGTAAAAAGAATGAGCTACATGATGGTGCCCAAAGGTTTGAGTAATCTGGGTTGGGTTGAGTGTCAGAAGGTTTCGCGCTTAATGGGGGCGTTTTTGACCTATTCACCCTAAATGTTTTTGCCCTTTGGTAGTTTGTCGGCAAGTGGCACGCGTCATGTGACACCGGGTGACATGTGACATCCATCATCACCTGCCTCAAGGAATTACCCTTCGAACGGTACCACCAGCATCTCGATCCGATCATCCGTTTGGACGCAATTCTAATTGTATTGGCTCGATGACCTTCCAGAGCACGGTTTTTGGCAACGTAAAATGGCGCCTTGTCGGCTTCACTATCTTCCATAGGAGGTCCATTGGGGTGGGACTAAATGCTTACTTCGAAATCTAAGCTACGTTGCGGCATTGGCGGTTATGTGCGGCGTGTATGCCGCATGATTAGTAAGAGGCGACCACTAAATTAAAGACTCAAACGCTCCGACCGGTTCTCAATGAATAACACTGCATACCAAAAATACCAACCGCTCTCGTCATAAGATATTCAGCTTTAGATAACTAGGTTATCTACATCATCATTTTGAACCAAATTAATACTTTCAACTTAACTCACTCATTCCTTCCTTTGTTGTCTCCAAACAGTCGTTCGATTGTCTGGAAATCGTATGCTAAATCCCGTACCTGTATGCGACTGGTGCATATAAAGGCCGATAAAAGAATTTGAATAGGCTCTGGCATGCGATTTCCTGGCTACCCAAAAAAGTCTGTTTCAGTCTTGCTATCAAAACATGACCTCGCCCGCACAGGGGGGGGGGGGGGGGGTTGATGCAACCCCCCTAAGGTTTTTCGCGAATAACTCGCTTAAAAAGCGGCTGATCGCGACGAAACTTTCAGTACCCTCGCATTGATCAATTTAACACCCATCCTGAAAATTTCATGACCCTGACCCAAATGACCTTTGACCTGTGACCTACTTTTCGAGACCATGTTTGGCCGGAACCGCGATTCAGCGTATGTCGGCTCGCATTAGCAGCGCGTTTGCAGTCTTTTCGTGGTTTCAAGCGTTCAAACATGTGATATGATGTTGCCCCCATGCATTAGGGTGGGTGTCAAGGTCACCTGAAGGTCAGGTCAGGTCATTGACCTTTGGTGACCTCGGTTCACTTTTTCGAGTTTGACATGTTTCTAGGTCAGTTTTTTCGAGCTGAATTCGAATTAAGCAACCACATGAACGTTTACAAAGTAGTTTTGGTGCCTTCGTAACATGTTACGAGGCTGTCAGAGGCGGTTGACACCTACTACAAATACCTGGCAGGACCTCTACTGGTTGACCTGACCTGACCTAACCCGACCTGGCCTAAATGAATGAAGACATCATCTGTGATCAAAACTAGCATGATATTCGTGATCAGCACCCCGAAAAACCCCATAGCAGCCACACTACGACGTTCTAACAGGTCCCAATTTTCCCGCCTTTTGGGTCATTGACCTGACCTGGAAGGTCAACCGATAACCTAGGACCTTAAAATTGGGTATCATCGGCTTTCTCTCGTCACGGGCAACACGCTCGTTTTTTCCGCGAAGCTCTAGCTTGATCAGGAGCGAAACGGCAAGGGGTTATACCTTATACGTTCGCGGCTGAGTATTAATTTGGTTCAAAACAATGATGTAGATAAGTTAGTTATTTAAATCTAAATATCCTATGACGAGAGCGATGGACATTTTTGGTATGCAGTGTTATCCATTGAAAACAGGTCGAAGCTATTGAATTTTTAATTTAGTGGTCGCCGCTTACTAATCATGCGGCATACACGCCGCACATAACCGCCAATGCCGCAACGCAGCTTAGATTTCGAAGTAAGCATTTAGTCTCACCCGTCCATTGGGATTGTCAGTCCAGTTTATTTATACGTCCGTGGCAACAAATGACTCGAGTTTTGGGGCCTATAGGCAAGGGGGGCCAGGGTATATAGAGGGGGGCAAGGGCTCCGTCCGTCACGACCCGATGCTGGGGGAGGGGGGGAGGAGGAGGACAAATGCCGTTTGAAGACGATTCTTCTCATGCAGCACAGAACAGGCATAATGTTAAAAATGTAAAATATTGGGGGGGGGGGGACAAGTCCCCCCGACGCGGGACGCCCCGTCCCCCCTTAAGATCTATAAGGTTACCTAATTATTATTAGGTACTTAATGCCTATAGGAACGTTCACCCCAGAAGAAATTGCCCCCAATCAATCGAAGGATACAGATTTAGCTATGATAAAGGAGATAGAGAGCGGAATTAGTCAAAGGACAATCATTATAGGAGATTTTAATTTGCCAAAACTTATGAGTACAAATGCAAACTGGGAATCGAGGCTTTTCTGGGAAAACTTTGAAGAGCTTTTTTTGACACAGCATGTTGTCCAGCCAACTAGAAATAATGAAATACTTGACCTAATTTTGACTAACGGCGAAAACCTTATCAGAGACGTGAATTCAGGCGAAAGCATTGGAAATAGTGATCATGTGCTTATCAGATTCAGCATACAGGGTCAAGTACAGAAAAGAAAGGTTACATTACCGATCATGCCCAATTTTGCCAGAGGAGATTATGAAGGAATCAGGGCATTCTTTCAAACCATCAAATGGAGAACTATGTTAGAAGGCAGAAATGTTCACGGAATGTGGGAGTTTTTCAAGAAAACACTCACTGAGGCTCAAAATCAGTTTATTCCTATGAAAAAGCAGCGTGGAGGGAAGTCCGCAACACCTATTTGGTTTAATAGCCTGGTACGACAACATTTCAGTGAAAAGAAGGGTGCGTTTCGCAAAATGAAAACCAACCCATCACAAGAAAATAAGGCTAGTTATATTTCAGCCAGAAGGAGACTTAAAAGGAGTATAAGAAAAGCAAAAAGAGCATCAGAGATAAATCTAGCCAATGAGTGTGGAGGTGATTTGAAAAAGTTCTTCGGTTTTTATAAATTTAGTAAACATGATTCAAGGATTGGACCAATAGAAAGTCAGCATCAGGTTTACCATGACGATGCCGACAAGGTTAAAATATTCAATGACCAGTTTTCGAGCGTTTTTACTGATGAGTGCCTCAGGCAGTTTCCTACAAATGTACCTGAATCGACAACACACCCTAAACTTACAACTATTTACCTGTCTGAGGATGACATAACTAAAGCTTTGTGTAATCTTAAAGCAAATAAGACAAGTGGTCCAGATAATATTAGCACTAGGGTCTTAAAAGAAGGAGCAAGAGAATTATGTGTTCCACTTTACATTATCTTTAAAGAGTCATTAGAATCAGGTGAAATTCCTGATGATTGGAAGTGTGCGAATGTCATTCCAATCTTCAAAGGTGGAAACAAAACTGTAGTGAGCAATTATAGACCAGTAAGTTTAAGTTCGGTCGTGTGTAAAGTGCTAGAAAGAATCATAAAACGTCAAATAGTTGCTCATTTTGAGGAACACAAGATTTTACTTCCATCTCAACATGGTTTTTGTAGTGGACGCTCCTGTTTGACAAACTTATTAGATTTCCTTGAATATTCGACAGACCTTTTGGACAGGAGTAACAGTGTATCAGTAGTTTATTTAGACTTCAGCAAGGCATTCGATAAAGTTCCACACAAAAGACTCTTGATCACATTAGAGCGTCATGGTTTAGACGGTCCTCTTCTCAAATGGATAGGGGCCTGGCTAGTAGGTCGCAGGCAGCGAGTCATTCTAAATGGCCATCAAGCTGACTGGAAAGCTGTCAAGAGTGGTGTGCCTCAGGGAACTGTTTTAGCACCATTGCTTTTCATTATTTTTGTAGATCTTATAGACTCTGACTTAACAAGTAACATATGGAAATTCGCGGATGATATCAAGATAGCTAAAAATATTACTTCAGATGATGATAGAAGAGCACTACAGGCAGACTTAGATGCTCTTTTAAAATGGAGCAAGGAATGGCAGATGGAATTTAATGCTGATAAATGCAAAGTTCTTCATCTGGGAGTAAAAAGTAACGATACATATTATTTGAATGGAACTAAGTTGGCAACTGTGAGGGAAGAAAAGGACCTGGGTGTTTTGGTGACAAATGATCTGAAGTTCAGTGGCCATTATGTGCAAGCTCGAAAAAAGGCTTTAAAAATGTTGGGGGTTATAAATAAAAATGTATCATATAAAAGTAAAGAAGTAATGAAAAGACTCTATTGTTCATTAGTTCGGCCTCATCTTGAATACTGTGCACAAGCATGCCACTCGTCTCTAAAAAAGGATATAAAACTTTTGGAGCGTGTGCAGAGGAGGGCAACAAAGATGGTTCGTGGGCTGGGTGAAATGAGCTACAGAGAACGCCTGGCTTCCTTAAATATGTTTTCACTTCATTACCGCAGGATAAGAGGGGATTTGATTGAACTTTTTAAAATATACAAAGGGATTGATAAGTTAGATTTTGGGAAGATGTTTACACTCAATACAAATTCCACGAGAGGAAATGGGTGCAAACTAGTAAAGAAATTTTCAAGAACCAAGTTAAGACAGTCCTTTTTTACCAGGAGGGTCATAGAAGCTTGGAACGGTTTACCTCCTAGAGTTATCAATAGTTCCTCCTTAAGTAATTTTAAAAATGAGTTAGACTTGTATCATAAACAGCGTGGGCTAGTGTTCGATGAAATGGTGTAATTGTACCGTGTTTTACATACAGTGTTTGTTCATCTACCTGTAACCTCGTTGGGCCCAAGTGGCCTGCTGTTACATGGAATACATGTAACAGCATGTATTTCCATGTATAAACATACATGTTATGTTATGTTTAAATTCGTATGTGTGTGTGTCTGTGTGTGGGGGGGGGGGGGGGGGGAGGAGTGGAAGAAGCCCTTAGCCCCTTCGCCCTGCCGTTTCGAGCTAGTCTTGCTGCTTGCAGAACAGGATCGGTGCGTTTGCGTTGTCAAGAGATTAGGGACGCAGCGACGATTACCGATTTTAAGGTTTCGGATCAACTTAACCGGTAGCCTCAGAGGTCAGATCAAATCCCTAAAGTCAGGGTCCAGTTGATGGCGAATAACTTCACCAAAAATGGTTGCAGACCCCCGATTTCGGCAACATCGTGTTTACTATAATCAGACACCGGACATGTCGAATGATGGTACCTATACTTTTTGTTCGGAAGAAGTCGCATTAGCGCGTTGACCTCAGGTCAAGGTCAGTGACCACTGACCACGGGTTCTTTCAGGCCACAAAAATAGAAAAAGGTCATGTCGCATATAATTCGCTTCGACAGGCCCTCCCGAGGCCATCGGTGACTGTCAAGCTAGTTCAATTTAGGCGTATACACCTGTTACGGTCTGGACGGTCAGTGGCAGTGCACCACTTGCACTGCAGTAGCACTGGTGACTGGTCACCAGCATCCAGCTTGAGCAGCGTGTAGCTCCCACACAGACGCGTTCCTGTGCAATGGGGTGACCGTTCACTGCGCTGAGTGGCCTGTCTGATGTCCAGCGTCCATCGAGATAGGCTCAGCCCAGGCGGCATATCTAAAACTACCATGGATGAGACAATAATTATATCATCCATGAAACTACTTTCAGCTAATGCTAGAAGCGGCTCCTAGACGGAAAAATGAAAGGTCGCGTCAATATTGTTCTTTCCTCCTTACCTGTTTATCCTAGCGTTATTAGTCGAAAACGATAAATGAATCAGAATCGTTATATAGTGACATACAATAGTCAACACAGGAACAAACAAATGACATTTATTTGTAGTTACGATTGGTCATCTGATGAAAATGATAAGGTATGAGCATGAGTGACAAGTCTGACATCGGAAGGGACTAAAATCGAGCCACAAATACAGCCGAGATCACTTCACATAGCCCCCTTCGGCAAGAATACCTACAGGCATTTGGCAGTAACGAGCAAGCACACGATGCGACACATGCGCAACGTCGGCGTTCGTCATAGACCGTACTCGGTAGTTCGCAGGTCCGCCGCCAGGGCTGCTCCCGTTTGGCTACAGCTAACAGCATACCATAGATGGGGACACAAGCTACGCATATAGCACATCGTTCCCACGACCTGCACACCAGTTGATCGACCACCAATATTACCAGCGTAACGGGTAGCCTGGACCGCTGCAGTAACGCTGATGCCTCTTACCTACCAAATGACGCAATGAGCTGATCACAAGGCACAGACGGGATGGGAATGAGTAAGGACCCACGACGAACATTGATGGCAACAGTACAGTTCATAAAGCCTACGGCCAAATCACGATGAGGAAACACCTTATTCAATCTCTGGCCACTTTGACACACGGCAGCGGATCACTTATGAGCACCAGACAAGAGCTCATAACGATCATAGTCTCCCAATATCGTCCTGCGACCACCTCCACGGCAGCTTCCGAATACGTAACGCACATTTCCAGATGACTATCACCCCCAAGGCGTTGTAACACCCAGAAAATGTGCCTCTCGCGTCATGCCAAGAGTCTTTGATATGTTTCATCAGGTTTTGAATTCACGGCTGGCATACTGCAAGCTGGCATTCAGATGGTGGACCACTCCAGACACAGAGCAAAAACCGTTCGCAAATAGGTAACCGTAATATACGAGCCTTTCAACACCACGCATTGGACTGACTTCACATATTGGCGTCATGCATCAAGCTTTGCAACTACATCCATCCGCTTCAAAACCTTAGTTCCTCTTGCTCCCCATCGATTCCTTATCTCACGTCCTTCCTAACCACGTTTTAAAACACCATTCGGCATCACCAGCCGTCTTACAAATGTTGATCCATCTTCACCAGCCGTCTCCTCCGGCGTCTCCTCTGACCTTCACCAGTCGTCTTCCGAGGCACCATCATCGTCATCCCTCGGGAGCAGGGTGGTCGGCTCCAGCTCATACTCCAGCACCTCCTCATCGGACAGGTGGGAGGCGCCCTCCACAAAGTCGGCAAACCTGGTCGGCGTCCGCAGCCGACTGACGGTGCGCCACGCGTCGCACTCCGGCGACCGGCAGTACTGGCGCAGCTCCTGGAGCGCCTGCCGCGTGGCCACGGCGCTCTGCTCCAGGTACTCCTGTTCGGAGAGCAGCTTGCGCGGCTTGGGCCGAAACAAACGGCGGCGCAGCGCGGCACGCATCCGCACCCCGACACTGACCGGCAGCGCCTGCCAGCCCACCAGCAGCAGCACGAGCGCCATCGAGGCCTCGGACATGCTGGAAGACATGTAGACGCAGCCGAGCCCGACCAGCTGCAGGAACCACTTGATGAGCGTCTGCGACCGACGGTCCTTCACCGGGCCGTACCAGTAGCAGATGGCGAAGCTCAGCAGGCCTGAGACGGCCAGGTAGCCGAGAACGTAGGCGCGGTAACGGATCAGGTGCTGTCGCAGGTTCTCCAGCACGTACTGCAGCAGGTAGAGCGCCAGCGACCAGCCGGTGAAGAGAAAGGCTAGCGCCGAGCTTCGCCGCGGCAGCAGCCGACTCAGCACGAACACGGCCACCAGCACGGCGCCGAACATGCCGATCGCCACGCCGGACGAGTAGTGGAACACGACGTTGGTGCTGAGCGGCTCGGCGGCCACGAACAGCGCCAGACCCGCGGCCAGCAGCAGCGCCAGCCAGTAGTCCACGTGGCGCACGCTCAGCTGGACGCTGTACCGCTCCACTGTCTCCACACCGACGCAAGTGGGCTCAAACGGAGGCAGCCGCACGTGGCGCACGCGCCAGGGCAGCAGGGTGAACAGCTGCCCACTGGCCACCTTGTGCTGGTGCAGAACATCGCTGGCATTTGCACCGCGGTACACGGTGAACTGGTCGGAGCCGATGTCAATGCTCATCCAGACGGACTTGAAGATCGCAGCCACGCTTGGCCGCTCGCCAGCGTAGCAGTAAGTAGCGAGGATCACATCAGGCATGAAAGATGTGGAAGACATGTTTTTACCTGGGTGAAGATCTAGCTGTGGATAACGGCCCAGGTCCTGCTGCAGCTGAGGCAGCTGCTCTTCTGGCTGTCCCATCACTAATGTGATGAGCAGCATACCAAAGACCAACAAGGCAGATTTGTGATGATGGAACTGGAAGTCAACAGGCAGCATCATGAGTTGCTTCTTTCTAGGGCATCTGTAACAAAAAATCACACTAGGTTCATTGGATGATTAGTTTAACACAGAACAGGTGCAGCATAATAGGTATGCATTCATGGGATTATTCAATGAAACAACCCACAATACTACACTCTGTTCCGTTTCAAGCTTGCAGCCAAAGTGTCCTGCTGAAAGCAATGCGTGATTTCTGTATATACAGCTCTTACATTTTAAGACACAAATTTTTTAGCGGAGGAGCGATCTGCCGAAGAGACTCCGACTGCAAGCTTGATACGGAACAGACTATAATAAATATTATTTTTCAGATCAAAGGTAAGAAAGGTAATTGTTCTGTCATAAAATAATTTAGCTGGTTTTCCCGCTAAATGCAAACAAATGCATTAGGTACATATATCATGCAGCACTCAGCACTCAGCAGCATGTCCAACAAACATGAAACATGAGCAGATTCCACTGCCGACTTGGTCTCAGTCCAGTCCAATGGCTAAGGCTATGCAAATTGCAAACCGTCCAGCCTTGGTCCAGTCGTAATAATAGCATTAGTCCAGTCCGGCCGAATACCTATACTGATACAGGCAAATGCCAGGCCCAAGGGAAGAAAAAGAGGGCTCTCTCTATCGTCTGGATAAAAATAGGCCCCGCCCATCCCAATCAGCTGCTGCATGACGAGTTGATGACGACAACCACTACTTACCAGCAACCAATCTAGGGATAGCGTACGTGACAGTAATGGTGCAGCGGTTGCAAAATATTACATTGTTATCAAACGGTTTTTGCTTTTAGGGCCTTGTTAGATGAGGATGAGGTTCAGTTTAGATTAGATGAGGTGTTGATGAAGGCAGGTATTTAAAAAAAAAAATTGACAATTTTTTGCCCTTGTTTTACTTAATAGCTGAACCCGGGACCACCTGAAGTCTAAACCTTATTTTATGTAACATGTCAATGCTGATGCTGTCTTGAAATGTGAAATTTAGACAATGGTAATAGGAATAATGAATAGCAATTTCACCAACAACATGTTAATCTCTAGGAAGTGCAATTAAAATTAAAATCACTGTCTGCCACACTGCTCCGATCCTGGTCATGCAACCGACGTTCATGGGTGGTGTTTCACGGCAGAGCACTGCAGTGCGCTGTGTCATGCGTGTGTCAGAGCATTGGGTTTCCATGGCAGTGTCAACAAACTTCACTGTGACGCTAAGCTATGACAGCATCCCAGAACGCTAGCACGCTGCAGTACCTACCAGCACCAGCAGCATGCTAGCAGTATTTGAACTCAAACCTCTGTTCTTGGTACGGTTTTTCAGAACCTCTCACTCTGTTCCAAACGCGATTCATCATAAACTAAGAGATCACATGCAACATCATTTGAGTGATGCTATGGTATGCCGTAGCTACCAGTGCACACAGTGTCTGGATGGTGAAACAGGGCCATTATTAATCACATTTGCTTTGCTTTGTTTCAGCAGAAACCTGTCTGTCTGCACATGGGAGGAGTGCAACAAAAGCCCATCAAGTTCATGCATGGCAGTGGATCTCAACAGGAGAAAACCAGAAAGAACATGGATGCTTGTAGATTGCAGTTGTACACTGCTGTTATCACCTGATGTGCGTGGCTGGCATTGCTCCTGGCAAGAACCACCTGCAAGTGATGAGATGGTGCCTCAGTCATTGAGTGTGCTGCAGTGTGAGAGGCGCCCTGATCTCTACTTTGTGATGGGTTTCCATTGGAGGTTCAACTGTGAAGTGAGAACTGACTGTGACCATGCTTGAGCATGCCAGTGGAGCTTTACATGCTTAGGGCAGCTTTTGAACAGATGCTGACCATGGCATGTCCCATCCAGTTATCACGTGCACAGAATGGTGGGGGGAGGGCAACTCTGGGCTCTTGAGTCAGCCCTACTGCACAGGGGGTACAGATGGCCGCTTACGTTTGGTGTGTCCTGCACTGCATTATCAAGCCCAGTCTGCACCACAGGCAATGGGTCGGGCTGCACTATATTAAAGGCAGACTATCTTGCAAAGGAGGCTGGCATCCTCTCCCATAATGACACACCAATTGGCAATCATCGCTGCGATGATCACGAGGGTGTCCGCTTATCTGCCATGGTGAGGTGGAGAGGCAGCTGGCCTGAGGGATGGTTTTACTTCATCTGAGGCCCCCTTTCCCCGCCTGCCAGGCCCGGTCAAACGACCGCTTCACAGTGAACGACTTGCAGTGGATGCCGTCCCACAGCGCAACGAGCGCGCCGACCAGAGGCGGCGGCCAAGAGGCGGCCGCGCTCCCCCAGTCGACGGTCCCGGTGGACGTCGGCAACGCCCACCGCGCGACCATCAGATCGGCTCGCGACAGCGCCGTCGCCGACTGACCGCATGACTGGTATCTGTTCTTGATGTGGGACCGACTGCCACCGCCGCGCCGGTCGCGGAAGGGCATCGCTCATCGGCCATCGACGTCCACCAGCTTCGCGTGGGTCACTGTTCGGGCTGCCACCAATACACCGAATCGGATGGAACCCTGTCGGCGAATGCCGGCGGTGCCCCGACATCGACTGCGCGGCGGCCAGTGCATCGCGTGCCGGGAGGAGGCTGGCACCCCCGATCGGTCATTGGTCACAAACCGTGTCCCAGCTCATGACTGCATCCAGCGCAGCTCTGTGAGATGTTCTGCTGCAGTCTGCCGCGTGTGTTGAAAGAAGAATGAACATGAGAAAACCTCAAAACTTTATGCCTATTCGTATTTGACCAGTATTGGAATAAGTTTGGATTTTGAGAATTTGTGTCCCTGTGCTTGTGCCTGTGTGGAAAGGCATGCTTTACGGTGTACCATCTCAATTTGTGCGGCTGCTGACAGGCCACCTGGGTGCCAACGTATGTGCGAATCCGCGAATACGTTGTGTTTCGTCAGTCAGTATCGTTCTGAAAATATTGACTGCAATAGGCTATATAGCGTATGACGGTTCAGCCCAGCAGTAATAACTGACCATTGATTGGGCGAAATTTGTGTGGTGGTTCGCTAATACATAACCTAAAGAGTGTTTTGCCGGAATCGTTTAGTAGCAGAACTGACCGGAATATAAGTAGAATGCAACGGTTTGAATCGTTAATTTGTTGAAATGATTGTTCTCTGAGACCACTGTGTAACTTTTGACCTGAGAATCACCAATTATAACGACAATGGGGAAGCAGTAGGCACTGTAGAGTGTAGGCAACACTATATAGTTGGCACACTTACGGAAGCACACGACTTACGCAGTGGACATCTGCATCATGCATGTTAAGGTTTACTGGGAAGAGTGAGAAATTAGTCAGAATATAACTGACTAAGGAAAATAGGCGATATTTCCAATTGAGCTGGGGCGGAGAGGGGGAGGGGACGTGTGGTCAGCTATGCCAATAATTCATTCTCTTTATGCAGCTGTGTAAAAGGGCGTCCGTTTTTTGGGTGAGACCTTCCCCATCGGCCATTTCCAAGCTAAATCGTGGTGGAGAGTCTGGAGACCTCAGCCTCGGTAGTCGGTACCCTGCGCGCTGCGCCACCTTGCGAAACATAAAGCAGCAGTCCTGACATCTACAGGCGTGACTTTTCATAAAAGCGCGGATGTGTTCGCGCTTATGCGAAGAAAATTCTTCCGAGTATGGTTGATAATGAGATTAATTGTTGTCATTTATTTATTAATTCATTGGCAAAAGTACCCTAATAAATCGGTAAAGTAGCTTGAACTGTATCGTATTTCCTTGGGGAAAAAATGACGAACTCATCCTAAGACATCCAGATTATTGGATGCGTTCGTCAGTTGTAAGTAGTTCAAATTTTTGGTAAAATTTGCTTGTGGAAAATCATAATATTTTAAAAATATGCCTATTTTCGAATAATCAATGCATTTATCTGCATTGAAAATGATTGTAAAGCAAAAGTGCAAAAGATTATTGTCAACTTATTTTCTCAAATCACAATTTACGAACGCACAAAACTCCAGCTTTTAATTTAGTGCGTGTGCGAATTGCGGTCAAGAAAAAGATTTAAACTGTCTATATTCCTCTTAAAACAATGAAGGATGAATGAGGAAAACGCTGTTTTGAACAATTGTATATTTATTTTTCTTAATTAAGCAAAAGTACAAAATTTTCAACTATTATTACATTTGCTCTCACAAAACCCATCACTTTTTAGCATGACGTCATGTCAGCCAAATTTACTAGCGCCATCTCTGGAGAGCATCTTTCGAAACCTCCAGACGATAGAGAGAGCCAAAAAGAGGAACTTATGCAAGCCTGAAGCCACTAGCAACAAAATCCAAAAGGTATTATTTCCCTAGAAAAGAAAATAATGCATTTATTATTACGACATAATTACAATCACTTAAAAGGGACCCTCCCACCTTCAAAAAAGTTAATGAATTGGCATGAAAGTGATGTCGCTCGGTTCAGAAAGAGCAAAAATGAATATCTACCAAATTTCATCGAAAAATATTCACCGGTTTTCAAGATATTAGACTTTTACTTTTGTTTACTTTTTGGGATCTCCGCTGTTCCTAGCGACTTTATTTAAAAGTGCGGCATTTGTTGCGCGCAAAGCAGCATATACCACCGCGTGCTGCCAAACGTTTTAGTAAAAGATTTAAAAATTGTTAGATCTCCGCTGACGTCACAAATTCTAAGGGGGCATACCAATGCACAGGGGGGTTCGCTCCCGTGCCTTCAGCATTACGAAAAATGGCAACAGCCCGTGAGCAGCATCAGCGCTCACGCACATGTTCAAGGAAAACAACGTGTAATTAGCTGCTGACGACGGCCCTCTCCACCAATCAGCGCTCGGTAACTCGAGCGCTGATTGGCTGGTAGCAAACGCGTCATATGTGGGTCTCTTTTTTTGCTATCAGTGAACGCGTTATTTAATACACAGTGGCCTATGGAGAATGGCACGCGGAATTGAAGGTCAGTGTTTTATTGCTTCGTTCATGCGAATGGGGGTATTTGAGTGGCATTTGACACCATTTTCGAAATCTACAGTGAATTTCTGATCGACTCATGTATATATTTTTATGAATTTGACAGTATTAGTGCTACATAGTCGGTTTTTTATGTTGGTGTTGTTTCTCTCGACCTTTGTCTTGGACTTTAATCATGTCTTTTCTCGAAAGTGCTTGCCATAACCAGGTCTAAACTGTATCTGTATAAAGGGAATATGTGTTGAATATGAGGGGAAAGTAGTAATGACCATTCTGCCTATCAAACTGCCAGAAGGTGTGCTTGTAAGGTGATTGAAACTGCAGTACGGGTTGCAGATGTGGGTTTGACATTAGCATTGTTGTTGTAACCCCACTTGCTCTAATAAAATGGCAACATGGGGTTATGTACACACTATTGCACAGCCTGGTATCAAGCTGGTTGATATGTGGAGGATAATGAAAGCATAAAAGAATAGGAGCGTTGCGTCTTGTGACTTATGTCAAGTCATTTTAAATCAAATGATTGTGATTGTAACTTTTACTTCAATTATTATTGCAAGTTTTGACCTTTTTAATCATCAATTTTTATGTGTACCAATTTCATATGCCTGTGTAATGTCTGTGCGGCTTTGTGCAGTGTGCATGTCTTGAAACAAACCAATTTATTTTGTACCTTTTTGTACTTCAAATAAACACCAACAAATGTATGTCAAAGGACAAAAATGTCATGTCTATTATCATTGACACTACTACAGCTAACTTTGCCTGTATTCCTATCTTTCAGAGGCATTCAATTCAATCTGCTTTCCAGTGCAGTACCAAGGAGGCTGCAACTGAAACTTGCACAAAGGCAATCAAGTATCACTTCATCAGCCTACAGTAACAGCCCATCTGTAATCAAGATATGGATGAAGGGGCATAGAAGAACAACCAGTTCAAACATGAAAAGATTGTATTTTGTTTTGGACTATTTCTTAGCATAACAGAACAGTACTGAGTACACTTACTGCTTTTTATGTTTGCCCTGTGTGCAGTTTTGAATAATTTTAACCATGAGATGCTTTTGTCAACTATTCTCTTTACATAAGCTTCCTTTGTCATGTGTAATTTTGAGTTTACATGCATAATGTAGGCACATTTCCCTTGGCTTCATAGAAGTTAAAACTACTTGCAAGCTTTGGTTATGGACATTGGTATTTGGTGCTATATATGATGCTTCAAATGTGTCCAGTAGTTGATGAAGGGAGAAGACGAGTAGGACAGGTGATAGCTATTACCAAAAGTATGTGCTTGTCTGCACTTCGGGCTGTTTTACTTCCTTGAGTTAAAAACCCTCATCTTTTGTTTCTTTCCTGTGTGCCCATTGTTTCCATGGTGCTATACATAAACGTCAAGTTTGAAGTTGGTATCCAAGTGAGCAAAATGTGTATTATTTCAGTCCGTCTTGAATCATTCGTCTTGAATTATATCCCTAACTGACATCCTGTTATTTGTCCTGCAATGTCTGTGCCTGTGTCCGCCCTTACCTCCGGCTCCAGCCTCCAATCAGCACTGCTGAGCTCTGTTGCCGGCGCGGTGTGTCGCAACGTGCTGTTTCTCCACTCCAGCCGACAGCTGCTCTGCTAGGAATCGTCCTGTGCCATGCGCCATGCGACACAGCAATTGTAAGCTGCAGGTCACATTCGGACTGATTGGCTCCGCGTATGTGCATCCGGCCGGGAGCTAGTCGATATCAGGGACGTGGGTCGGACTGTTGTGGCGGCGTGCACTGTGCTGGTTGAAGTTGTATTTCTGTTAGTGAAAAGCATTAATACATAACCGTGGCCGCAGCCCAATGTTATTGTGGATTTCAGAGGGAGTGGCCAGTCAGGAGGGCCCCATGTGGGTATGGATCCAGTGTCCAGTGGGATTGGCTAAGATTTCCGGCGATTGATAAACGCTTCTATGATAGTAAACCTATTGAGTTATGAGGGGAGGTCACGTGACGGACATGACCTTACTAAACTCTTGTGAAAACACGACACATACGAACGGTAAGAAACCGACAACTCTTCTTTCTGCCAAGTGTCATCTTTCTGTGAAGGATTTCTTGGCACTGAGTGTTCAGAAATTGCGTTGTTTTTGGACTGTGCAGAGGCTCACGCGCGACAACATAGGTCAACAACCTGACCTACCTTAAATATGCGACTTGTACCATAAGATCCAGCTTGATCAAAAGATAGGACATGTCAAATTTCATCTCTTTATCTCAAAAGAATTTTGAGCTATCGTAAAAACCGCCAGTGTGGCACCCAAGGCCATCTATAGAAGGTACAGCCACTCCCCCGCCGACCAATCAGAGACAGATCCTGAGTGACGTCATCCCTGATGCTCGCAAGGGGTACTCCATTCCTTTGCAACGTAAAAATGACTAACTTCATTTGAAGATTATTGATGGCAGTCTGCACATACCGCTCAGCCGTTGATGTCAATGGAAAGCCCAACTAATTTTACAGCGACAAAAAAGAGCAGCAATATGCTAAGAAATGGCCGGTTTTGAAGATATAGACGATTTAAAAACCCTCTGCAACAGCAGGAAAGCAACGTAAAAACGCATCGAGCTTATATTTTTACTATGGATAAATCATTTTTCAGTAAGTTTTTAGATATGGTATAGATTTAAGTTACAACTTTATTACAATATTTTCATTACTTGAAACTTTATTTCAAAATAATATTTTCAAAAATGGCAGCTGTTGGCCAGTAGCTTGGGAGCGATTGTGGCGCACCGCGCCATTAATTGTCCTGTGGCCCCCTTATGATGTCATCAAAAGTGGAGTGACATGGGCCTGGTGGCACCATATCGCCTCCGCGCGCGGTCGGAAGGTAAAAGTTCGCCGGCTCTAACTAAACAAATAGTCATCGTATCGCAAATTCATTGACGGCGTTCGAAGCGTCGTTCAATTTACTTTCGAAACGTATCCTAACATTACCATTTAACTGCCTAGCGCAATCACCAACAAGCAAAAGTTTCGCGCATCCCTCCTCTTACAGTGTTAGCGGCGGCCGGCCGCCGGCCGCTGACCCACATTCGCGTCATCAGGGAATGCCGCAACTAATTTATTGTTTCCAACTTTTTTTCCCGGAGCGTTCTACCTGGTTTATATAGCCTTGCCAATGCATTAGCCCCTTAGAATCCGAAAACTGCAAGTTTGAAATTCCATATCTCCGAATTAAAGCATTTTTCGATGTTGTGAATGCCCAAACCGGTATTTTCAGGCCATGGCCACCAATTTGGCTATCTCAACTCAAAACTAATGTTAAGGTGGGAGGGTCCTTAAGGCATAGCCCCTAAAGATATTTTAACAATTCAAATTTCAAATCGCACACCGAACCAAACACACACAAACCAAAAACTCAATTTTCAAACTTTCTGCGCTTGAATCGTCTCAAGTGCGCTTCAAACCAACTAGTAAGTTTTGAAGGAGAGCATTTTGAAGCCCTATCTTAGAGCTTGAGACGTCATTACTAAAATAAGACACCTTTTTTTGTAATTTAATGTCAATGTAAAGGTTTAAATATTTTAACATTTATTATACTTTATGTTTAGATTTTTATTATACGTTTTTGAGTTTTATTTTGTGTGAAAAATATGAATGTTGGTAAAATGACGCAACAGGCTCAAGAAGAGGTTGTGAAATAGATCAAACATGAAATGTGGATGTTCCGTCGACCTTGATATGTTTACTTGTATTTGCTTGTATAAGTTGTATTGTGTCAGTTTGTGTGTGTTACCTAGCCTTGGTGTTACCTCAGTAGGCGGAACTATGGTCAAGCGTACCCATTTTCGGGAACGCATTTTCGTTCCCATGTTTGGGAACGATAAACCCAAATATGGGAACGCCATGTAGGCATTATTTAAAACAAGAAAAAGAACCGTTAAATGACGTCCAAAAAATATAAAACGATCGTGAACCGCCTGATATTTGTCTCAATATTGTTGGGAAAGAGTTTGATATTGTAAGGCCCATCGTAGTTTCAAATCGTTCCCCTATTTCTAAAGCAGTCCATCATCCGGGCCGCGAGCCCAAATTTGGGAACGCTCTCGTACACTGGCGCTGCAAGCGTTCCTTATTATGGGAACGGCGTACCCAAAATTGGGAACGATTTCACCGACGCCTTTCAGGGGCTCTTTTCATTAACAAGCATCACGTCCAACGCCGCAAATTATTGTTAACGCAACAATCATCAGATGACCTTTCCGGCAAGACCGTCGCATGTTTCGCCCGGTCTTCTGCGCTTTTATTCCCGTCGATCTCGCAGCGGGCACGCCCCCCTCTGCAGGATTACGTAATTCACAACGCTCAGCGATGTTCAACAAGGTCTTCCATACCTATATCCACCGTCCGCGCTGAGGGTGGAGACATGTCAAGCACCTGTCTGTTTATCACCGATAGTTGACGAGTACAAGGAAGTATCCAAAAATGGGAACGCTGAATATGTTACACCCTCAAAACACCTAGTCCCAATGAAAATCTAGTTTTTTCCTTTCTTGATGAGTGTAAGTGGCAAAAGGCCTGGTAGGATGGGCACGAGGAATTATCGAAATCAGCATAAAAATTATAAATAAGCCAACCAGAGCGAGCTATATAAGAGAAATTCACCAAAAACGATCACGCTTAGAAACACGGAAGACAAAAACCACGCTCATGGCGCTCCTTATAAAACAACTCTAAACAGCTAGCATCCAAATAAAATATGTCTTTCCGGGATGATAAAATACAGCTGGATAATTTTCAACCGCTTAAACTGAGTTTACAACAGTAGCTCGGTAAATTCACTCACGTTCCACGCGGTCGTCCGCCCCGACACAAAAGTCAACAATATTACCTCGGGACCGTCCGCGTCTTCGCTTGCATTTGTCAGCATCTGGTGTCGATAGTATGAAAGTTCATAACCAGGCGAAAATTATTATACTTTACCTCAAACTAAAAAATGCTTCATTTTCCTTAAAATTGCATGTTAAATGTCGTATAACCCATATTTCCACCATTCTGTCATTTTCAAAAAATCATTAAAAATATCATTCCACGGTCAATTTCCTTGTTCCACGGTCAGATTAAAGATAACTTTATGGAGATTTAGTAGATACTTAAATCAGCGTGCACTTTTTTGAGACGTGATGCACTTTTGAGTTTTAGTGGGAGAACGGCCGAAAAATTGCCTTCCGTTCTCATAAATGGGAACGCCCGTTCCCATATTTGGGAACTCCGTTCCCAAAAATGGGAACGTTCCTATATTTGGGTACTCATGACCATAGTTCCGCCTACTGACCTATGGTGTTACCGCTTTGCAGGTGATTTTTGTGTGAATTGGTTGCGAAATTGGGGATTTTTGTGTTAAGGACGTGCTGTTACTTGATGTTTTTAAGGTACATATCAGTTGGGCAAACTAGACCTTTCAGGGGAGTCGACGCGTAAGGAAAACTGGTCCGACTTGGCCGCAGCAGGGCCCCCGAGAGCCCCAACGGGGGCCCCCACGAGCCGCAGCAGGGGCCCCCGTGGCCGCAGCTGGGGCCCCGAGAGCCCCAACAGGGGCCCCCGCGGCCACAGCAGGGGCTCCCGCGGTCGCAGCAGGGCCCCCGCGAGCCACAGCAGGGCACCGCCTAGTCGAAAAAGTGGTCCGACTAGTCAGAAAAGTCGGACCGGTGTCGACGCCCCTGAGACCTTTGGAATCAAAATATGGAGGCATCAAAAGATTGATTCCTTTTGGGCATAAATGCAGACTATTTCTAACTTACCAATCACATAAAAATAAGAGAGTGTTTCAAGAAGGAGCATGCCTGATCTTGAACAGAAATGCTTGAACTATCTCCTAAGCAAAATAATATTGCTCCTATCATAACAATTTGAATTCTATAGGTAGTGAAAGGCAATCAAGGAATTGATTCACTTTAAACAGATAATCATAATATTGATTCCCCATCTAATCATTATTCTCTAATCATTATTTTGATTCACAGGTAATGTTAACAGATAGGCAACAATGACTTGCAAGAATACAGCATTTATCTTGCTATTATTCTCATTTAGTGGTATCCTCAGCACCACAACTGATACCTATAGCATTGTTGTATTTTACCTTCACTACATTTGATAACAATTCACAATTTTTTAATGTCAAGAATACAAAAACTGAAGCAACACGTAAAAACCATATAAATGATATAAAAGCACTACAACAATGATAATTAGGGGTTTAAAAATTTCATTTTGCCATTTTACACAAATACTGATTGGTTTGTATGTGATTCATGACACAAAAATAGCATACAGTGTGATTTCCTCAAAACAGCTTTTACGTGATGGACAGTGGCTCTGTCTTTTTCCCATTCACAAGGCCAAAGGGACAATTTCTTAGCTTTGAGGTAACACTTTTTGCAAACCTACCACATTTTTCTACCTTTTAAAAGAAAAATCTCACCGTCATGGGCCTTTTTTCAACCGTAACGATTCATTTGAAGTCAAAAGTGTACCCAAATGAATCAAAAAATTGATTCCATGCCCATATTTGGTCATGGCTCCTCCCACCAGAATCAAATTATTGATGCCTCCATATTTTGATTCCAAAAGTCTAGCTTGCCCAACTGATATATAAATGATAGGTTGAATACCTTACTTATGCTTTGAAATGCTGTGTTCAGGAAGGAGAATTTCAGAAAGGTTCTGGCTAGTGGCCAAGGCTACATAGCTCACCTCAATCCTCATCTAACATTCTGATGCTGATGGTTTTTATTCTGGGGCCATTTTCAAAAACAGAAAATTACTGTCTCTGTGTTTTTGGTGAACTCGCTATTTTGCACCTGGGCTCAAACTCTGAAATCAAATCAAAACCACATCATAATTCATACGATATACCCATTGTCACAACTTATATATTAACCTAGCAAATTCTTCATTTATGAACATTGAATTTTAAAAATCAGCTACATTGCAAGTTGAAAAAATAAAACCTAACATAAACATGACTTGTGTTAAAAGTATGTACTATGCTCTGTATGGATGTGTTTTCTCACTTTTCTACCTTAGAAGGATATATTCTTTCATTCCCATGTCTTTGTGAATTTCTTTAGTTTTTAAAGGATGCAAAATGAAATTACTAAATGAAAAGGAGAAAATCACTGTGTTTAAAGTCTCGTTCAACTCACAGGGTTCACCAACCATGCAGAATAATAATGATGTGAAACTCTGTCAGCCTGGCTGATTTTTTTTTTACATTGGCAAACATTTTGTGTGTGTGTGTGTGTGTACAGCCAGCAGAATTTGTGTTTTTTAAGCCAAAAATTGCAGACAGCCAATTTTCTGTTGGTAAAACTGCCCTTTAACCTAAATCTGAAGATATTGAGCTTTGGCAGTAGGTAATCATGGACAGTGCCTTTATTCTCTTCTCTTTGACATCCACCATTTAAGCTTATCATGTGGTGCTAGGTACTAACTGAAATTGAGAGTGTCAAATACAGGACAGGAGTACCAGAGTTGAGCACAGGCTTGTGAATCTAAAATGGTGCCAAAAGTGTAAATGTAAGCCCACTGTCTTCATTCATAAAGCTTTGACATCAACTAGCACCAACAGTAACCCATGCTGTTTTGAACTAATTAGCATACATCAAAATGATCACCCCTTTTGCTATTTTATATCCTGCAATGAAATACTACCTTGTGTTCCATTGCCTGAATTTAATCTTAAATGATGCTTGTGATTTCACTATTGATGTTTTATCTAACTTGCCTTTCAATGGCAATTGGTGCTTGCTGAATGGGCTTATGCTTGCATCCTGCCTGCTTTTTTAATTTTGCTTTGCTTTTCCTTTTTAGAGTGGCTGCCATATGTTGGACTAACTGGGAGGTCAGCTAAACACTACTGATAGGACAGAAGAGTCCTTACCGCTGCCATGGAGGACCTTGGTGAGTACATTTGTGGCTTATTCATATTCTGACTAGCATGCTCGATGATCTTGTCAATTCGCTTTGCACGCGCTGACCAACGCCCCTGCTCGCCGGTCGCAGGGGAGGGGGGGGGGGGAGCTGATAGGCACCGCTCCCTGTGCGCTGGCACCGCAGACGCGGCTTTGGTCGCGCTATCACAGCTGCTATCAGTACGAGCGGTGCCGCCCGCCTCATTGTGTACACAGGATCACCGCAGTTCTCTGAGAGGATGTAGGAGGAGCGTAGCGGCCCCCGATAAAAGACACACGCCTCGTGTGGCTGAGATAGCCGGGTGTGAGGTGCTGCCACCGCGCGGTTGGAGTGGAACCCTCGAATAGGGGCATATGTTCATAGATGTCGCCAGTTGGAGCTAGTTCGCCGGTTACTTTAGTGAGTGCTTGGAA